AGGGTTAACCCACATATTTTGAGAAAAATTAGAAAATATGCAAATTTTGTTTTAATGCATATTTTCATCATTGACTAACATAGCATGCAGGTTAAAGAGGTTTGAGACCATATATGTTCATGTTTCTCTAGAAAATATAATTTCTTTAAAAGGGGGTTTGTCCACTAATTAAGTGGTATATGAAATTTAAATAAATTACATGTTGGAAAATTAGAAATGATGTCCATGTACTAAGTAAATAAACTTATCATACATTAATACAAGTTTTGAGTATGGTTAGGTATTTTTTTAATAGCACGAAAGAGGCTAATCTTTAGTTTATATAGCATTTATTGAAAAACTCAATCTTTTCGTATGGGTTAACCCACATATTTCCAGAAAAATTAGAAAATATGGAAATTTTGTTTTAATCCATATTTGCATCATTCACTGACATAGTATGAATGTTAAAGAGGTTTGAGACCTTAGGTGTTCATGTTTCTCCATAAAATATATATATTTTTTATAGAGGATTTGTCCACTGATTAAGTGGTATATGAAATTTAAATAAATTATCTGTTGTAAAATTTGAAGTGATGTCCATGTAGCATGAAAATAATTTTAATATATATTAATACACATTTAGAATGTTATTGGGTAATTTTCATCAAAAATAAATAGCCAAAATTCTTAATATATCATTTGTCGAAAAACTTATTTTTTTTGTAGGCGTTAACCCATATATTTCGAGAAAAATTAAAAAATATGAAAATTTTGTTTTAATGCATATTTGCATCATTCAGTGACATAGTACAAAGATTAAAGAGGTTTAAGACGTTATGTGTTCAAGTTTCTCCACAAAATATAGTTTTTGTAGGGGGTTTGTTCACTGATTAAGTGGTATATGAAATTTAAATAAATTACATGTTCAAAAATTTGAAATAATGTCCATGTACCATGAAAATATTTTTAAAATACATTAATACAAACTTAGAATGTGATTGGGTAATTTTCATCAACAATAAAGAGCCTAAACTTCTTAATATATCATTTATCAAAAAACACGATTTTCTTTAGGGGTTAACCCACATATTTTGAGAAAAATTAGAAAATATGAAAATTTTGTTTTAATGCATATTTTCATCATTGATTAACATAGCATGCATGTTAAAGAGGTTTGAGACCATATGTGTTCATGTTTCTCTCGAAAATAGAATTTTGTTTATAGGGGGTTTGTCCACTAATTAAGTGGTATATGAAATTTAAATAAATTACATGTTGGAAAATTAGAAATGATGTCCATGTACAATGTAAATAGACTTATCATACATTAATACAAGTTTTGAGTATGGTTAGGTATTTTATTAATAGCAAAAAAGAGGCTAATCTTTAGTTTATATAGCATTTATTGGAAAACTCAATCTTTTCGTATGGATTAACCCATATATTTCGGAAAAAATAGAAAATATGGAAATTTTGTTTTAATCCATATTTGCACATTCACTGACATAGTATGAATGTTAAAGAGGTTTGAGACCTTAGGTGTTCATGTTTCTCCATAAAATATAATTTTTTTTATAGAGGGTTTGTCCACTGATTAAGTGGTATGTGGAATTCAAATAAATTATCTGTTGGAAAATTTGAAGTGATGTCCATGTAGCATGAAAATAATTTTAACATATATTAATACACATTTAGAATGTTATTGGGTAATTTTCATCAAAAATAAATAGCCTAAATTTCTTAATATATCATTTGTCGAAAAACTTAATTTTTTTTGTAGGGGTTAACCCATATATTTCGAGAAAAATTAAAAAATATGAAAATTTTGTTTTAATGCATATTTGCATCATTCAGTGACATAGTACAAAGGTTAAAGAGGTTTAAGACGTTATGTATTCGAGTTTCTCCACAAAATATAGTTTTTGTAGGGGGTTTGTTCACTGATTAAGTGGTATATGAAATTTAAATAAATTACAGGTTCGAAAATTATGTCTACGTACCATGAAAATAATTTTAACATACATTAATACAAATTTAGAATGCGATTGGTTAATTTTCATCAACAATAAAGAGCCTAAACATTTTAATATATCATTTTTCGAAAAACTAGATTTTCTGTAGGGGTTAACCCACATATTGCGAGAAAGAATAGAAATTATGAAAATTTTGTTTTAATGCATATTTGCATCATGTAGTGACATAGTACGGAGATTAAAGAGTTTTGAGTCGTTAGGTGTTCATGTTTCTCTATAAAATAGAGTTTTTATAGGGGGTTTGTTCATTGATTAAGTGGTATATGAAATTTAAATAAGTTACATGTTCGAAAATTAGAAATGATGTCCATGTACTATGTAAATAAGCTTATCATCCATTAATATAAGTTTTGAGTGTGGTTAGGTATTTTTAAATAGCACGAAAGAGACTAAACTTTTGTATATTTATCATTTATTGCAAAACTCAATTTTTCGTTGGGGTTAACCTACATAATTCATGATAAATTAGAGAATATGATATTTTTCAATGCATAATTTCATAATGCACTTGCAGATGATGAAGACTAAAGAGGTGTGTGGCCTAAACTTGTTAATATAGCATTTATCAAAAACTTGATTTTTTGTAGGAGTTAACCCACATATTTTGAGAAAAATTAAAAAATAGGAAAATTTTGTTTTAATGCATATTTGCTTCATTCAATGACATAGTATGAAGGTTAAAGAAGTTTGAGACATTAGGTGTTCATGTTTCTCCAGAAAATAGAATTTGTTTTATAGGGAGTTTGTCCACTGATTAAGTGGTATATGAAATTTAAATAAATTACATGCTGGAAAACTTGGAATGATGTCCATGTACCATGAAAATAATTTTATCATACACTAATACAAATTTAGAATTTGATTAGGTAATTTTTTATCAACGATAAAGAGCCCAAAACTTCTGAATTTAGCATTTATCAAAAAATTCTTTTTTCGTAGGGGGTGGTTAACCCACATATTTCAGAAAAAAAAAAATTAGAAAATATGAAAATTTTGTTTTAATGTCTATTTGAATAATCCACTGACATAGTATGAAAGTTAAAGAGGTTTGAGACCTTAGGTGTTAATATTTCTCCATAAAATTTGAAATGATGTCCATGTGCTACACACAGTAATATAAATTTATAATGTGATTGGATAATTTTCATCGACAATAAAGAGCAAAAAGCTCTTATCGTAGTATGGAAACCCCTTCACTCGTTTGGGCGGGTCATGGCACTATATTTTTTGTTGTTGTTAATTATGGTTTTCTCTATGAATATTTTGCCAAAAAGCTCTTATCGTATATCTTATGATCCGAGAGTTCAGGCGCCTCTTTCTCCGTCAACTGCTGCATGCGCCTCTCCTATTCGACCCACATCGTAGTCACATGTGACTGCTTTGTTTAATTGTTTATTTGTTGATGTTTTAATTTTATTTTTGTGGTATTATATTACCCCAAACATATATTATCCGAATCTCTAAGCATTTATTGGACTGGTCACAAAAGCCACATTCTCTGGTTATCAGATATTCAAGTGTTAATTAATATATCAATGTCTCAAATCGGACGGTAAAATGAACGAAGAATTTGGTAAGATTCGTTGGTTGCAACATATTTATGATCTGGAGTTATTAGCTGAAAAATGCGTTAAAAATTGTGTTAGATTTCAGAAAAACACTTATTTCACACTATATCAGTAAATGACATTATTTTTTTTTTTTGAAAAAGGGCATAGTAAATGACATTATTATCACTTACTTAATTTCAATCTTATACTGTTATCATAAACATAACTAGATTTTGAACCCGCACATCCGTGCGGGTATTTTTCATTTTATAAAAATATAACAAAACTTTTCAAATATATATGATTTATATTCTATTGTTATATATTGTATAATTGTATAATTTTAATTACTTTTATATAATATATTGTTGTAAGTTTTAAAATAAAAAAAATATTTATATATAATTTATTATATAATGTATTTGTTGTGGGTTACAAAAATATATGTTAACTTTTTTTGTAAGAAAATTTTCTATGATTTAAAAACTTTAATATGTTATAAAAGGGAGTGATATTTATTTATTTATTTGAATAAAAGAAAATTTTTAAAACAAAATATTTTTCTTTTACCAATTTAATATATTTTATATTCATTTCACATAGCATTTTATTTTAATATTATATAGAATATAATTAAATTATAAAATATAACAATTTTTATTTTAATTAACAGTAATATAGATATTTATATATATTAATCATGAAATTAAATAATGCATATTTTATAAAAATATTTAAACTTCTTAGTAAGATATTGTTAGATATTTTCTCAACAAATTTATAACTAATATCTTATTAATTATTAAAATATTCTTCCAATTATATATATTTGATTGATTAGTATAAATAATCAAATATATCATATTAATGAAATGGTCCAACATGACTTTTTTGTAGTAGATGTAAATGGTACTTCTCTTTTAATAGAGAAGATTAACTCATAAGTAAATTGCATGTGCTCCCTTAATATATTGACTTTCTATCATTCCGATCTGAATGATTAACGAATATGATTGGGTTTAGTTTCAATAATGTTGTGAGCTAGTTAATCACATGTCTTCTATTGGTCAATAGCTAGTGAACCACATGTCATGTGTTATAGAAAAATTATGGTGATTGTCATGATGTAGACATTTATATGTATTCTATTTTCACTACATTTTCAATTCATATTAATTAACGGTATGGCTTTTGACAGTGTCGTGCATATACGTACGTGACTTACGCAAGCTGCGTAGACATTCCTATATGTGCAGTGCCTTGCCTATATAACCATGTGTGCACCAAATGATTGGAAATCAAAACTCTTTTATATAGATAGCACATGTACTTAATTGCACCATAGATTCCAATAACGAACCATTTGATGCACTATATATACAGCCATGCATCAACACTAATACAAACACAAAGTCAAATTACGTACATAAATAAAATGACGAAATCAAGTATTACATTACCTCTTCTCTTTACACTCCTCACCTTCATCGATGTCTCATCGGGTGCCTCCAACGTATTCAACGTTGTTAGCTTCGGGGCCAAACCTGACGGTGTGACAGATTCGACGGGAGCCTTCCTCAAGGCATGGCGAGCGGCTTGTAGCTCGGCAGCTGCATCCACCGTGATGGTTCCAACTGGGACATTTATGGTGAAGGGAATAACGTTTGGAGGGCCATGCAAGAGTAGGCTGAAGTTTCAAGTGGCTGGAACTGTCGTTGCTCCGCCAGATTACAGGGCATTTGGAAACTCTGGCTACTGGATTCTTTTCAACAAGGTTAGCAAAATCTCACTTATTGGTGGGACGTTTGACGCTAGAGCTAGTGGGTTCTGGGCTTGCCGAAAATCTGGTCAGAGTTGTCCTCCAGGTGTTAGGGTATGCTTCTCTCCTTTTATTCCTGGTATCTTTAATATGTGCATTCTTTCATAACATACTACAGATCGATTTGCCCGAACAATATTCTAACCGAAAAACATTATATGTATACGTGACATATATGAATATGTGACTATGTTATTCTCAACAATTTAACGTACGCAGAGGCTTCGGTTAGTTAAAATATGGAGTTTATATTTTTTTCAAAGCATCCATTACTCATTAGTAACTGTCAAACATCCACATTGTGTACATATTAGTATGAATCCGCCCCAAACGTCAGACAGTTGTTTTCTCAATAGAAACTGTACATATTAAGTTTTGTAATATTGAATTATTTCCGATCGGAAATGAATTCTCTTGTCGAAATAATATAAATAATTATGATCCTATTACATAAGTCCATGTTTCTACGAATTATGATAATTATCTATTGATGAAAGTCCATAAGATCACTTTAATCACTTACATATATATATATTAATGAAGTAAAATTATCGAAGAAGCCATTCTCATAAAAATATTTGATGCATTAGCGCAGTCAATATCCTTTAACTCGGGCAAAGACGTGATCATAAGTGGAGTCAAATCAATGAACAGCCAGGTCACTCATATGACTCTCAACGGTTGCACCAATGTGGCCGTCCGTAATGTGAAGCTAGTGGCTCCAGGGAATAGCCCAAACACCGACGGTTTCCACGTTCAATTCTCCACAGGAGTCACATTCACAGGAAGCACCGTTCAGACCGGAGATGATTGTGTTGCTATTGGTGCTGGTACCCGCAACTTCCTCATCTCTAAACTTGCTTGTGGCCCAGGTCACGGTGTTAGGTATGATATACTATATTAATGGAGAGTCTATTTAGGCGATGAAACATCTACTAAGGAAATATTTAATTTTACATATTTCCAACATAAAAACACAATTACCTATAAGCCTAGCAACTTTTCAACCAATAGAAAAATAGAATATTATATAAAACTAATAAATTTTGTCTCGAAACTTTAAAACGACATTTAATTTGTGACAAAAAAATAAGCATAGAATGACATATATTCTGAAACGGAGGAAGTATATTTTAAGAATACACATAAATATCTGTTCTTCCTTTTCCATAGCATAAGTAATTTTTAAAATATAATAATTATGTGATGGCTCTCAGTATCGGGAGCTTGGCAAAGGAACTGAACGAAGATGGAGTAGAGAATGTGACACTATCGAGTTCGGTATTCACAGGCACACAAAACGGAGTGAGGATAAAGTCGTGGGCGAGACCGAGTAACGGATTCGTTAAGAACGTCTTCTTCCAAAATCTAATCATGAGGAACGTCCAAAACCCTATCATAATCGACCAAAACTATTGTCCTTCACACAAAGGTTGCCCCACCGAGGTATATACACATACATTCATATCTATCATATGTAGATCAGATCCAGTATATTTATAATTAAATAGTGATGTAAAGTTCCTTTGTAAAATATATAGCATTCGGGGGTGAAGATTAGCCAAGTAACGTATAAGAACATACAAGGAACGTCCGCGACGCAGCAAGCGATGAAACTGGTATGCAGCCAGAGCAATCCATGTACAGGAATCACATTACAAGACATTAAGCTTACGTACAAAAGCGGAACTCCTGCTACGTCCTACTGTTTCAATGCTGTTGGGACTAGTCTCGGTGTTATTCAACCTACTAGTTGTCTAAACCGATAAAATCAAATACTCGTGGTGTAAAATTTTAGTTGGTGCAAGATGAAATGGTAAAATGTTATTAGAGTATTGATATTTATCATCATTGAAGCCTCGCACCTTGAATATAAGATTAATACAATAATAATCCAAATAGTTATGTTCCGTTGGATATCAACGACTAGTCACGTGGAGGCTGACCTACTAGAAACAGAAAAACTCGTTGCATTACGTAAGAGTTAGATATCCACACCAACTAAGACCATTATTAATCCAGGGTTGTTAGGGTGGAGTTTTTAACGGAAATTAGAAAACTATTTCTTAACTTTTAACTAAAAAGGTTAAGAATCGGTTCTTAAATCCTATAAAAATGAATAAATCTAAATAGTGAATTTCAAACCCAAAACCCTTACACACCTTTCATAGCGTGCCTCACCACCCGACCATACCCAATAATTAAAAATACAGTATCAACAAGCTGAAGAACAACTTAATTGCTTGAATTTTACTTAGTATTGTAATTTGTACTCCACTGAAATCAGCTGCAGTTTTGTTTTAAAGAAATTCTCATCCATCCGTTTGAATCTATACAAGAAATCTGCAGATACAAGGAGTCGAAGGTTGACTTTAACTATATCTTTATGAATATGTAAGTTTTAAAAACAACAACGACTTGACATGAACATTATGGAATGCATACTACTTTTCTTTTTGGTTCATATATGCTTTTATGTCTAGTCTAACTTACATTTATTTTTTTTTAATAGATTCTAAACAGTTTGTCCTTAACTATCTTTGATTTCTATAAATTTATATAATTTTAATATATATTTAATAAATATGTTAAAATCATAAAACAATACAAAATATTAAATTAATCTTATATCATATATATATATATATATTAATAAACTACATTATTATCATTTTCTTAATTTCAATCTTACTACGATCATCAACATACATAACTACATGTGCTCGCTTATATATGTTGACTTTCTATCATTCGCATCAGAATAATTAACCAATGTGCTTGGTTAAGCTCCAATAAGGTTCGAGCTATTTTTCTTTTTTGCAACAGGTGCGAAGTGCGAGCTAGTTAATCACATGCCTTTTTAAAAAAAAAAACTTATCACACATGCCTTTTTTGTCAACAGCTAAGTTAATCACAATTCATGTGATGTGATTTAAAGTATGTGATAATATCATGATGTACACATGTATTCTATTTTAGTACATCTTTAATTCTTTCTTTCCATTCACGTTAATTACCGATATACGTGCGTGACTACGCAAGCTGCGTACTACGTTACTATATGTGTATAAACAATACATATGTAATGGGATGCAAGATTGTTCAAGTTAAAGTTAGAACTTTTAAGACGTTAGCATTAGTTTGTACAAAAGCCTTTTTTTATCTGAGAAAATTTAACATTCTTTTCAAAAAAAAAAAAAGTTCAACCTTTAAATTGAAAATCTTGGTTGGGAAAGTGTTCCTATTTTTCAAAACAGAAATCAAAGATTTTAGCATTGAGCAGATATGACAAATTACTAATACTTTCTGGATTGACAGTGGTAATTAAATGGCAATGCTGCATTCTTGTAGATAGTTTTTTGTTGTTGTGTCGTCTACCGATTTAGCGCGAATACGATTAATCTCTAATATTTGTCGTAATTTTTTTTCTGATATATTCCCTTAAACTTTTCAATTATTTTTAATCAAAAAAAATATTTATAGTAAATCAACCGTTTAGTTAGTTCCAACGTATTTTCATAAACACCAGCAATAAAAATACAGCAAATACCAAGAATAAAATTTTTATCAACAATGTCATCCATGTGTGCACCTAATGATTGGAAATTTAAACTCTTTTATGGGTACCACATATAATTTCATAAACTCTTATCTTATAAATCGCACATGTACTTAATTGTACCATGTTGTTACAAAAAAAATACACTTAATTGTACCGTAAACTCCAATAACGACCCTTCCATGCCCTATATATATACACATACATCAACCCTAAATAAAACACTAACTCAAACTCACATATCTAGAAATGAAGAAATCAAAGATTACACCACTTCTCTTCACACTCCTCACCTTCATCGATATCTCGACTGGCGCCTCCAATGTATTCAACGTCGTTAGCTTCGGGGCCAATCCGGACGGAGTCACGGATTCAACTGCAGCATTCCTCAAGGCATGGCAAGCGGCTTGTGGCTCGGCAGCTTCAGCCACTATGATGGTTCCGTCTGGTACATTTCTAGTGAAGACAATAACATTTGGAGGGCCATGCAAGAGCGAACTCAAGTTTCAAGTGGCTGGCACAGTTGTTGCTCCAGCAGATTACAGAGCATTTAGAAACTCCGGCTATTGGATTCTCTTCAAAAAGGTTAGCAAATTCTCACTTGTTGGTGGAACTTTCGACGCTCGAGGTAACGGGTTCTGGGCTTGCCGGAAATCTGGTCAGAGCTGTCCTCCCGGTGTAAGGGTATGCACTTTTCTATCTCTATTTTCTTTTTATATGTGCATACTTACGTATAGATATGCGTGAATATATGTAACATTGTCTTAGTAACGAGCATTTTACGTGTGCGTTTACTTTAGTTAACACAATTCAGTAATATTTTACAATATTTTTTTAGAAGTTTTTTTTTCTTAAACATAAAGTTAATCCAATGTCTTTTAAAAATTGTAAATATGAACAAGCATACTTGACATTTTTTCCCCTAAGATCGCTAAAAGTACGGAAATCCGATCCTGGTTTATAAAATAAACACTTAACATGCACATAAACGCACATAATGATTCATTAGTAATAGTCAACTGTACATTCATATTAATTATTTATTTACAATTAAAAATTTGAAGTCTATAATTTACACATTGTTTAAGAATTTAAGGAAAACTGCATATAGTATGTTTTACTACAATGGATTCTGAATAAGGAGTAAAAAGAAATAATGTTAGGCTTATCTAATAAATCTATGGTACTAAAGAATTATCAATTATGGGTTTAAATTTTGTTTGAAGTATTAACTTATTATAAATCTAAGAAACCATTCTCACAAAACAATTAATGCATTATTGTAGTCCATATCGTTCAGCTCGGCAAATGACGTGATCATAAGTGGAGTGAAATCAATGAACAGCCAGATGACCCATATGACCCTCAACGGTTGCACCAATGTGGCCGTCCGTAACATCAAGCTATTGGCTCCGAAAAACAGTCCAAACACCGACGGCTTAGACGTTCAATTATCCACCGGAGTCACATTCACTGAAAGTACAGTTCAGACTGGAGACGATTGTGTTGCTATCGGCCCTGGCACCCGCAACTTCCTCATCTCCAAACTTGCCTGTGGCCCAGGTCATGGAGTTAGGTATGTGTCACACACAACACAACAACATAATATATGTGTACAAACTCACACTATATAATGGACTCCCTAATATTTTAAAATGATACTTATGTATATGACTATGTGATGGCTCGCAGTATTGGGAGCTTGGCAAAGGAATTGAACGAAGAGGGAGTAGACAATGTGACACTATCGAGTTCGGTATTCACGGGCACACAAAACGGCGTGAGGATAAAGTCGTGGGCGAGACCAAGTACTGGATACGTTAAGAACGTCTTCTTTAAAGACCTAATCATGAAGAACGTCCAAAACCCTATCATAATCGACCAAAACTATTGTCCTGACCACAAAGGCTGCCCTACCGAGGTATATATACATCCATATGGACTATAATATATCATATGTAGATCAGACTGATTTCAATACACTTATTAAGCAGTGATCTAAGTTCTAATAAAGATTTGTGTAACATAGCATTCGGGGGTGAAGATAAGCCAAGTGACGTATAAGAACATACAAGGAACGTCTGCCACAAAGCAAGCGATGAAGCTGGTATGCAGCAAGAGCAACCCATGTACAGGAATCACATTACAAGACATTAAGCTTACTTACAAAAAAGGAACTCCTGCTACTTCCTATTGTTTCAATGCTGTTGGGACTAGTCTCGGTGTTATTCAACCTACTAGTTGCCTTACCCGATAAAATCAAATAATGATTCTTGGTGTAAAATGAAAAGACAAAAGTGTTATCAGAGGACCGAGGTTTTTCATCTTTTAAGCCTTTGTGTCCTTGAATACAAGATTAATAGAGCGATAATCCAAATGGGTTGCTTTGGATATCAACCGGTTAATGGTAAATGTGCTTTTTCTATAACAAAATTTATCTGACGTTACAAACATATTGTTTTCATTTAACTAACGAAGTGGAAGACTTTGACCTGTCACAATCACATAGTGCTTTACTCTTTTTTGACTTGATGTGGACAGCAAATATACAAAAAGACAAATCCAGAAAGACTGAATAAAAAGAAGGCTTCCATGTGCTTTTTAAGTGGCTGTATATAGCTTTCATAATATAATAGATTTTCGAAACTTAATGAAATTAATAAATAAAACACCACCAAAAATGATGGTTCCTAGCTGAAGATGCTGTCACTCTAACTCTTTGTCTCTGTGTGCTATCTTCCTGTCCTTCGTCAATGGCACTAAAGAATCTTACATGTGGGCGTTTAAAAAATGCCTTGAGATTTTCAAACACTTCTTCAACAACTCAAGTCAAGCTGTTTTGTTTCTCAGATGCAGTGATAAGTAAAACTACACTCCACTGAAACCACCTGTAACCTCACATGGTAGAGATCTGCAGATTACAAGGAAGTCAAGATTTTTCCATTCTTCTATTTAGTTTTAGATCTTCGTTAGGTACAAGAACGGTTGTAATCTGATGGGTTCTTTGCCTCCTGTAATAGAGGATCAACATAGCTTTGGAGGTAACTCCATTGAGTTACAAGAGAGTCTCAGATGCGTTGGTGCAGAGAATCATCATCCAAGAAAGGGAAGACCACTGGATAAGCAAGTTAGTTTCCAATCTGAGAAACATGGAACCGAAACAAGAGCAATGGAGAGGCAGAGGAGCTTGCGTGGGTTCGTTGAGAAGCAGAAAAGCTTTCGTGTAGTGATAGAAAGACAGTTAAGTTTCATAAATGAGAGGAAGATGAAGAAGAATGAGTCACCTGGTAAAAGAGGAGACTCTCCTCTTCACATTGCAGCTCGAACAGGGAACTTAGGAAAGGTTTTGGAGTCTATTCGAGGCTGTAAAGTTACTGAAGAGTTGTTGTCAAAGCAGAATCTAGAAGGAGAGACTCCTCTTTACACTGCAGCAGACAATGGACACTCCTTAGTTGTTGAAGAGATGTTGAAGCATATGAATCTTGAAACCGCATCTATTGCAGCTAGAAACGGTTTTGATCCTTTCCATGTCGCAGCAAAACAAGGCCATCTCGGTACATATTCAAATATCTAATACCTTATATAGACATGGATCTTGAATGTGTACTAATGTTTTTGCAGAGACATTGAAGAAACTCTTGGAGGCATTTCCGAACTTAGCCATGACAACTGATTTGTTATGTACAACTGCATTACACACAGCTGCTACACAAGGACACATTGATGTTGTGAATCTTCTTTTAAAGACGGATTCTCATTTAGCTAAGATAGCTAAAAACAACGGTAAAACCGCACTTCATTCAGCAGCTAGGATGGGGCATGTTGAAGTTGTCAAGTCATTGATAGGTAATGATGCAAGCATTGGGTTTAGAACTGATAAGAAGGGACAAACAGCACTTCACATGGCTGTTAAAGGTAAAAAAGAAGGGATTGTTCTTGAGTTGGTGAGGCCTGATCCTAAGGTTTTAAGTGTTGAGGATAATAAAGGAAACACTCCATTGCATATTGCAACAAAGAAAGGACGTACTAAGGTAAACAGCATCATTGTTGAGTTTGTCAAAATACTTCTTATGAACTGCTTTCTTTGTCTTTTGCTTTGTAGATAGTGAGGTGTTTGGTATCATTTGATGGGATTAACCTCAATGCTATGAACAAGGCTGGAGATACTGCACTTGATATAGCTGAAAAGATTGGAAACGCAGAGCTTGTGTTGGCTTTGAAAGAAGCAGGAGCTGCTACAGCTAAAGATCTTGGGAAGCCTCAGAATCCAGCTAAACAGCTTAAGCAGACGGTGAGCGACATTAGACACGAGGTACAATCTCAGCTCCAACAGTCTCGTCAAACAGGGGCTAGAGTTCAGAGGATAGCAAAGAGACTCAAGAAGCTTCACATAAACGGTCTAAACAACGCTATCAACTCAGCAACAGTTGTAGCTGTCCTTATTGCAACAGTTGCATTTGCAGCTATCTTCACCATACCTGGACAATATGAAGAGGACAGAACAAAAGGAATGTTGGTGTTAGGAGAAGCTAGGATAGCTAACGAGGCACCGTTCTTGGTTTTCTTTATATTTGACAGCTTGGCGCTGTTCATATCTTTGGCTGTTGTTGTGGTTCAGACATCGGTTGTGGTGATTGAACAGAAGGCAAAGAAGAAGCTTGTGTTTGTGATCAACAAGCTCATGTGGTTGGCTTGTTTGTTCATATCTATTGCCTTTGTTTCTCTTTCGTTTATCGTTGTGGGTAAAGAGGATATGTGGCTGGCGATTTGTGCAACGATTATTGGTGGGACGATCATGTTGACCACTATAGGTGCTATGTGTTACTGTGTGGTGATGCATAGGATTGAGGAATGTAAGCTCAAAAACATGAGGAAAGAGAGAAGCAAATCTAAGTCTTTCTCACTCTCTCATATGCCTTCAGAGTCAGAGATTCTCAACGGTGAACTCAACAAGAGAATGTATGCACTCTGATGAGACTTTAAACCTATAGTTTCTGACACAAAATGTATTTTTCTAAAGAATTAAAGAATGAATAAAAAAGTGATTACTTCACCTGATGCATTTATTTTTGTGTATCTTCTCTAAAGATCTCTAGTTTAAAACTGTTAATGTCACAAGAGCTCTCATTACTAGCTTCTACCTCGGCTAACTGAGTCTTCAGTTTTGGGTCTAGTGCTTCCTCCATGACGGCTTTGACGACGTGAACCACCTAGGTTCTTTGTTAGGTTTTTGGGTTTGGATTCAAGGAGGCATAGTCTAGCTGAGTAGCAGTGACGGACTTTGATAGTGTGGCTTGTCATTGTAGTTGAGCAGCTTCCTCTAATGTTCACCATCAGGATTGCTTCTTTATCTCGTGTGTCTTCACACCACCAACTCTGTGGGATGCCATCAACACACTCTTCCATTGTCTGAAAATCTTCATGATGAACCTTAACATCCACGGTTCCTTCCGGGCTTATTATCCCTGCTGCTGGCGTGACCTACAAGAAAACAAATCATTTGAATCTTACTACATGAAACTTCTTGGGGGGGGGGGGGGGGGAAAAA